CTGGTATAAGTAAGTATCAGATAAGTATATGGTAGGATTTTCTTCATTTTTGATTTATGATCTTCTTTTTTTCATTTTGCTTTCAATTTTAGATTTATTTTCATCTGTGTTTAATTACTAAATTTCTTTTTTGTCTGTGTAATTTGTTTTTAAATATTTTTAAGTGTTTATTTGAATACTGTTTTAATTGATAGCTATCATCGATGTGGAACTATACGCCATCTCTCGTTCTATTTTTTTTCTTTTCCTCTTCATACATGTTACCAATCAGGCGGGGGTGTCGTTCATCTGAAGAAGTACCCCAAAATGTTTAGAATATTTAAAAGATCATACAAATAAAAATGATGCTCAAAAAATGATCGTGAAGAAATAAAAATAATTGAACAATTATCAATTATTAAAACAATAAGTGCACCAGAATCTTTAACAAGAATAGTTGTTGGATCAAAACATGAAACATTAACAGGTACAAGTTATAAACATTCATGTGGTTCAAATCGTTCACTATTAATTGTACCTGATGAAGATTCAAAGAGGTAAAAACTTTTATTTTATTGAATTTATAAAAACATATCAATTGTTATTTTAGTCGTTTTATTGATGATCGAAATTTTCAACCAATGACTCAATGATATACTATTGGCGCCCTCTTTTGTTTTTTTTACTTGCCACTTTTTAACAAAAAACCAAAAACACAGTTCGATAGAGAAAAATTTTCTCTACAATATGTGATTAATCTTATATCGGACCGATGCCAAAAATGTAAAGCACCAATCCATGAAGATTTGCTATTGATTCACATTTTTCATTGTACTTTTTCGCGTGGAAGCCGTAAGAGCCCGTACCATCAATTATTATTCATTAAATCTTCTAATGATAATACACGTCTACTTGTTTTAGATAATACAAAAAATGAATCAAGATGATAACGATAATCACGATTTACCATATGAACTCTCATATCGGGTAAATGATAGCTAGAATCCTTTTGATATCACTAGGTCACTTTTTTCTTTATAGCTAGATGTTTTTGACGACGTCTATTATGCTCAAGAGGAAAACCAAAAGGCTGCAAAACAAGAATTAAAAGAGGCAAAAAAAACTAAAAATAAACAACTAATTGAAGAAAAAAAAATACAATACGAGAACGAACTGGAAAAAAGTCGTATTGCTGCTGCAGCTGTAAATGATCGAGTGGATGAAGAATATGAATGGAGAAAACAAAATGGTAATTTCTCAATCTATTTATGACATTTAAAATCTGTATTTACCTTTTAGGTGAAGTATTTTCAAGTACTGATGAAGAAAATGAAGCAAGCAATGATAAAGAAAATGAAAAAACAATATCCAATGATTTGTTTGATGTTGGTAAATTACTTAAAAATGATGCAATTAGTAAAAGTATTTATTGAAATCATTCTAAAATTAAGATTACATTTATGAAAAAAAAAATTTTAGAAATGAAATCAAGTTCAAATACTGATGGTGAAAAACAAGATGGAAAAAGAACAGCTGACCATTTATCTAATGTTGATAAATCACTTGAAACTGATACAATTAGTAAAAGTATTTATTGAAATCATCCTAAAATTAAGATTAAATTTATGAAAAAAAAAATAATTTTAGAAATGAAATCAAGTTCAAATGGTGATGACGATAAAGAAAATGTGAAAATAACAGATGATCATTTATCTAATGTTGATAAATCACTTGAAAATGATACAATTAGTAAAAGTATTTATTGAAATTATCCTAAAATTAAGATTAAATTTATGAAAAAAAAATAACTCTAGAAATGAAATCAATCTCAAATGGTGATGATGATCTTCATGATCCTAATAAAGAACGAAGTAAACCAATTACTCTAAATAGAAGAATTTTTTGCTCTCGATTTTAAATATAATATTCTTTTTTATCTAAACTTCTATCAATATTCAGTCAAATCTATTTGAACAAGTTGAAATTGGTAATGCATATCTCTATTTCTTTTTATCATAAAAATTTTATTAAATTTCAAACATATATAAGTAGAGGCCACTGGATAAAAAACCTTTCCAATTCTGTACTCTCATTTATTAAATAAAAACCACAATAATAAAATTTAATTATTTTTATTTTAGAAAAAGATAAGAAGACAAAAGAAGAAGAAGAAATACGAACAGTTAAATCTAATATTATGTCGTTATCAAGTACAGCATCAAATGTAAGGTCTATTTTTCTTTTCTTGTCTGTTTAAAATCATTTTCTTCGTATATTTTAGTTAAATGATTACTGAAGATGAAGGCACACATTAAACTTAAAATAACTTAATTGACTTTTATTCATCAACTCATACTTATATGTTTACATAAAATATTATTCTTATAATTTTTTTCTTTGTATAGATAAATGTAAAACAAAAAGAGACATTCAATAAACCAAAAAAGAATAACAGTTATATAAGACAAAGGTTTTTGTTTGAAATATTTAAATGCTAAAAAGATGATTATTCATCGATTTATCAGATTGATTAAAGATATAGTAGCAATAACAATTGTCTTATTTCAGATTAATAAACAATCACCTCTTTGCTGTCATTTGCGCATCAATACTGAACGTGTTGCAAATTCAAATACTTTGTGAACACTTAGAAAAAAAACATTAAATATTGAATAAAATTAGATATAAAGTTAGACATAATAACTTTGTTTAGGCTTTGCAGAATATTCAAGATAATCAATAGCATCAAGTCTTCCAGTCATACCTCGATTCTCTTCCAATCGGATAAAATTTTGTTTCATTTTTATTAGTTCTCTTCTAATTGATTCATCATTTTGTAGGTTCTTTTTTATAACTTGAAAAGCAAAAAAAATACAATTCATTCAAAGCGAAGAATAAACAAAAGAAACCAGTAAAAACAAATCCTATTCTAATATGTCTTCATCAACTTAGAGTATGTACATTTTAGAAGCAAAATGAGAAGATGTTTAACTTGACAAAAAAGCACAGAAAAGTATTAAAGGGTGATTCAAAAGCCTTCGTCGTTCTCAGAAAAATTGCCCGCTCTCCCCTATTATAAATCCAAAAACTCTCAAAGTTAGACGATAATCTCTTGTAACTAGACGAATATTACCCTAAATTTTCAGACTTCTAGTCCAAGGGGAAAACAACTAATTTGAATCAAACGAATCATTTGCAATCATTGCAATCATCTGCAATCATTCGGAATCATT